CATTTCATGACATTGATATCTTTGCCAATTTGAAAGAGGACCTTGAATCCAGGGAGAGTTACATTTTTATGTTTTTGATCATGATCTTCTTAGAAGATACTTATTAGGGCCATTTGTTGACAACATTCAGAATTTAAAAATTATGTTGTTAAAGCATAACAAAAGCTTAATGGTTTCATTAGAGAACTATAAAGTCTGTTACTGAAAAGAGAAATATTGTGGTGTTTGAAAGCAGGAAATATTTACTGAACAATTCTCCAGGGTCTAGTTTCTAGAACCCAGACAAAGCTTAGCTAGTAAGAATTAAAAAGGAGTAAGGCAGAGGAGCAAGACCCTTGTATGTTCCTCACCAAAAAGTCCCTAAAACCTAAGGAAGTTATTGGTCACGGGAGTCATTAGTTGATTTTTTTTTTTAAAAGCTAAACAAGGAAGACAAATTACTGTGAAAATTTCTAATTCTTCCCCATGTGAGAGGGTGGCATTTCTGTCATTTTTGGGACTGGTGTGGCACTCTCTGCCAGGGCATGTATCATTATGTGGGAAAGTAGAAGATGTGCCCTCGGGAGTGCTCATTAGTGCTTGTCACCAGAGAATTGTTGTTGTTATGTGCCCTCTAGTCGGACCCGACTCATAGCGACCCCTCCTTGGGTTTCTGAGGCAGTATCACTACGGAAGCAGATTGCCAGGGAGTAAGGACCCCTAAACCACACTCAGTCCTGCAGACCTTCTCTCTAACACAGAATTCTGCTTGCCATCTTCCCTAGGCATATGTGTTTGCCAGTCTGCAAAATTGAAAGGAAACAGTGCAAAATTCCACTGTGGTGACATGAGCATGAAAATGCCCTGCTTCTGGGTCTTTCAGGCAAAGAGTAAACACTGCCTCTTCCAGAGGGAAGAGGAGTAAGTTCGTAGCAATGAAAGCAACCATTTACCTGTTTGGAACTACTGTAATAAAAGTAAATTGAGACAATTATGACTAGTTTAACAAAAAGGCCAAAGTATGTTTTAGTCTGAATTACTCAGATTTAGTGGGAAACTTAACTTAGGATTTGGGACCTTGGGGTTCTAGACCTGGGTCTGCCAGTAAGGAGCATATAAACCCCTCTGTGAGTCCCAGTTTTCTATAAATTGAGGGTTTCTTACTTAGCTTGAAAGTATGAGAGTCTATCTAAGAGAGTCAACAAATATAATGTTATATTTTCTGTGTAAACACCACAACACGAGACAGAAAAATGTCAACTTTGTGAAATCCTGTCACAGTGGAGCCAGAGTGGGCAGAGATGATTCCCTTTAGGGATGCTTCCAGATCAACAGGGTTGACCTGAGGAACCTAGAGAAACCCATCTTGATCTGTTGTGGATGGGACTTTCTCTGGATTTTTGTATTATTTATTTATTTTGAGAATGCATGTGGGATCAAACCCAACTCACAATACTAGAAGAGATCTTAGTTGGGTTCCTTATCTATAAAATAAGGAAGTTGGATTGAATTATCTGCGGTGATGGGAGGAGTCGCCCCTTGCCCTAGCCCACACAGGCTCTGGTGGAGTAGGGCTGGTTCAAGGCATGTAGAAGGGCACTTTAGACTTAGGACACTGAAGTAGGAGCCTGATCAGAACTTGCAGTGTACCTTCACAAAGGCGTTTACAACTCCCAAAGGCTGTTGATGACCTGATTGCCACAGGAGGAAGCCTCAGGGGATCGAAGGATCCCAGTGGCACACCACCTTGGGCGAGGTGGAGGCCCTTTGCTTTTCATCCATGCATCTGTCCACCACGGCCTGGAGGATTCCTCGAGGGAGTGAGCTGTTGGGCCAGGGGGGGTCTTTGGAAACTTGACCCAGCGCCCTTGCCCCGCAACCCTGGCCTGGACAAACTTCAGGCAGGCCCGACAGGTGCCAAAAGGCGTTTCCCAAGCCAAACAGACCTCCGCCCCCACGGCCAAAGGTCAGTCAGGCGCTCCGACGCCTGTGTTTGCACAGGTGGGCCGAGGCCTGGGCGGCTGGAGCAGGGGTCTGCGGTAGGGGCTCCGACCCGGACGGCGACCGTCGCCTCGGGGTGGGCAGCGAGGCCGGGCCAGAGGAGTCCAATTTCCCGGAGGCCAGAATCGCGGTTCTGGCGGGCTAAGAGAGGGCACCGAGCCGAGGCCGAGGCCGAGGCAGGGTCCTGCGCGTCCTGGTGCCTCCGTGGGATGCTGGCGCGATAGAGGCTCGTTTCTGTAGACTACGATCCCGCCCCACGCGGTTTCTCTGGAAGTGTGGGGGCCACGGTACGCGGTCTCTGCGCTGGGGTTCTGGCTTTCGACTTTCCCCTTCACTTAGAAACCGGGAGGGGCTGGAGCTCCCAGGGAAGGTTGGGGAGGGGGCGATAATAACGCAGGTTCTTCCCTTGCCTCGCCGTGGCCCCGAGCGTGGTTTTCCTTTGGGTCTTGGGAGTAGGAGCCTAGAATTGGTCATCCTCAAGGACAGCAAATAGGGGTGGAGGAGAGGCCCTCAGGCAAGAACGCCGAAAAGGACGCCAAGTGCACACCGACTCTGAGAGTTCTCTAGAAAACCGTACTGGGGAAACAGCTACGGGGACCAGAGGCCAGGGAGGGGACCCCAGTTAGGCAGACTCCGGGGCATTCATTAAGAAGGAAGGACTTTTTTTGCGGGGAGAGGGAGCTGAGATTTTAATATACTTTTCCACTTTTTGCATTGTTTTTGCGCTCTTTAAGTCAGGAGTGGATTTGCAGAACTGTCTTCATGTGTCAGTGTAGAAATTAAAATAATGGTTTTACTAGAATGATGTAGGTAGCACCTTGCCTATGGAAAGAAGCGGTCGCTTGGGATCAGAGATGGCCTTCCCTTGCTTTCTGCCAAAAGACAGTATCCTGAAATAAAATCCAGTTTTTTTTATCCACCTCACAACATGTGGATTCTAAATCATTCTCCAGTCTTGTATAAGTTAGGGTTTCTCCAAGAAGGGCAATGCTGATAACTGGGCATGAATTCCCAGCCTCTGAATTCCCTGTCATTTGTGTCACTCTTTAGACTATTGCAATCATAGATTGTTAGAGCAACCCTGCCTCTGAGTGTACTGAGAAACAGGTATTTACATTGCTTTCTGGTACTTCCACAGTACTTAAACTTTCCCCTATATTTTTCATATGGAAAACTGTCTCCTCCATCTGCAGATGGCATTTTCTCTTCAGACGATTAAAACAGGCTCTGGTAGCATAGTGGCTAAGACACTTGCCTGCTCACCAGAAGGCTGGCGGTTCAAACCCACCAGCCGCTCCTCGGAAGGAAGGTTGGGCAATCCTACTTCCGTAGTGATACTGCCTCGGAAACCCAAGGAGGGGTCGCTATGAGTCGGGGCCGACTCGACGGCACATAACAACAACAACAACAACAGTACCCCCGCCTCACAACTGATATCTTCACAAATGAGAGTGGAGAGGGGGAGAAAGCTACACTACTACTGATCAGTTCACATACAAGTGAACTTTTGCATTCCTAAAAAGGTGGATGGTTTTGTTTATAGACAAAAACACTGACATTCAACTGCACTTAAAATGACCCTGAGGACATCTTCAGTGTGTTGTTGTTGTTGTTATGTGTGGTCTAGTCGGACCTGCCTCATAGTGACCCCTCCTTGGGTTGCCCAGGCAGTATCACTATGAAAGTAGATTGCCCCATCTTCCTTCTGAGGAGTGGCTGGTAGGTTTGAACCACCAGCCTTCTGGTTAGCAGTCAAGCATCTTAGGCACTATGCTAATCATATCCCATGATTAAGTTTACAACTTTTTGAGAATCAAATCAGAACCAGTTTATCTGACAATATCTGCTTGACTATAAGCTTGCTAATAGCTCAAATTATCTGGCAAGGAATTGTTTGGTGAGAGCAGACATACCTGATCATTTTTTTCTGGCAACTCTTCCATGAGTTCTTACAGAGGTAACTGGTTTTAAGTTTACAAAATTGTATCAAAGAATGTCCCATTTGGGAGATTTGTACAGTAACATGTACAATAAGAAAACCTGCAGGCCACTTTTACCTTTATTGGATGATTCAGGAAAATATTTTAATTCTCTCAGGAAGTTTCTTGAGACCAAAACATAAACCATTGTTTTTTTTTTGGAGGAAAATTTCTCCCCCTCTAGCCCATCACCACAAAGTGCTTAAGTAAGTTGTGAGTTTTATTAAAAAATAAGCACTATGCCTGAATTCCATAAGATTTATACATGAATATGTACACAGACAAAATAAAATAATATTCAAAATAAAAATCACACTTGCTTTCATGTGGTAGTGGTCCTAGCACCCCACAGACATGTTATTTTTTCCTTTTAAAAAATTGCTTGGCCCAAGGAGACCACAATTAGATATCACTGAACCACTAATAAAGCTGTAGCCCGTTGCCTGCAACACTTTCAATTCAGGTTTTACAAATATATAAATAATTTAATTACAAAAACTCAGCAACTGTTTTTCTTTTCTTTTCTTTTTTTTTTTTTTGGCACAGTGATACATTGGTCAATAGCAGAGAAATGACTGACAATTCTCTGGGACTTCTCTCACACTCAATCATACCTGTAAATGCCACAAACATACATAGAGCAGGGCCCAGGGCCCTAACAGTAGTCAGATCACTTATCTTATGGAATGGTTCCCTGATTTTTTTTTGCTGAGGATAAATCAGTGAAATGGAAGGTGAGACAAAACAGTAGGAATAAGGGGAGCCAGCAGTAGGGAGAGAGGGAGAAAGTCTTACTTAAAGTGAAGGGATGGGCAGGTTTGGTCAAGAAACTAAAACCACAATAAAGAATTGCTTTGGTCCTTTGCAACGTGCTATGAAAGACAAAGGAAAATATTCTGGACTAAGTGAAAACACTTGGTCAAAAATGCTTTCACTTTAAGGCACGTTTGACTGGGATTTTGTTTTAGTCTCTTTCCCATAGGATAGAAAGTGCAGATCCCTCCGGCCCCCGCTCCAAGCCAAACACTCCGCCGCCGCCCCTCAAGCTAGGAGCGTCTCCAACTGGCCAGGCCGGAACGCGCTAGGGTCGCAGTCCCGGGCCGCCTGCAGGGCTCCGGGCGGCCGCAGGGGGCAGCACGGAGGCGAGCCGCCCCCGGCCAGCGGTCCTGGCCAAGGCTCGTTGGTAGAGAAGGA